AGAAAAAGGCTGGTGCGCGTCGATTGCTGTGAGAACCCTGAGAGCCCAATGGCTTATATTCAGTACCATGGTGGATGCTTCCATTATTTCGTATTACGGTTACAGGTGACCGATGGAAGCTTCTTCGTTGAGGATCCTTGTCGCCTGTCGCACGTCTGTGTACCATGGAAGTCTGGGTAAGATGCGGCGACGCGCGTGGTATACAAGGTAGGCTCCACTTTAGAATACATAACACTAGAGATGTGAATGACAATAAACCGTTCAGAAGTGTCGAAAGGTGACAGCCACACCTTCGTATGCTGACGAAACCTCCAGGCAGGTATGGCAGGAGATCGCCGAGAACATCGCCAGTGAAGGTACTCATAGCTCAGCAGTTGACCATTTTAACAGCACGAATATATATTCAGATCCTCAACGCCGCGAGGATATGCTTCACTACTTCCATCGCGACGGATACGAGGCAAGACGCACAACCATCTCGAGGTGGGCTATGACTGCATGAGATCACATAGTAAATGCAAAAACACTTGCAAATGCAGATGTTTTTAGAGCACTGGGAAAGCTGCACGGTCATCGTGTGTCCATGACCGATGTGCCTGAACGATTTTCAGGACTTCCTGACGGCACGCAGTTTGCTCCAGTATGCTTCGGAGGAGCTGCACATATACTTTGCAGCTCCAGTTATCCAGGTACCTTCAGAAACTACATGATGTTGTTTTATTAGACCAGCATCTTTTGATAATGAACATCATTCAGAGGGCTTCCGCGTTAGGCCTGGAGGCGCTGGTGGCTGACGGCGTTCACGATCTGCAGCCTGACGCCACCAGCAAACTGGGGCAGGTTTACGCGATTCATGGAGTCCTGTGTAACGGCGTGGGTGTGCCGCTACTGTTCGCCATCACTAACCAAAGAGGTAATCATTATTACTCATAAATTCGAATATTTCTTCCTCCATAATAAGCTTGTTTCAAGGAAACGGAGGCCACCTACCGTCAGGTGTTCGGTGCGATGAAGGACGTGATGGCGGCAACGGCACCGGCGCAGCTACAAGGTTTGCGCGTCATACTGGACTTCGAGAGGGCTGCTATCAACGCAGCCCAAAAGGTGTTCCCGGGCGCATCTGTTGAAGGTTGCGCATTCCATCTGGCGCAGGCATGGAACAGGAGAAGGGATGCGCTCGGGTTGCGCCAGTATGTACGCGAGGACCGAAGGTGCAGGAGAATGATCATGTGGTGGAGAACCATCAAGGGACTCGTTTTCCTCCCACCACACCTGCACCGAAAGGTCCGGCCCTGTGGCCACTCCACGCGAAGTCATGCGCGTATGACGGGTGCCGCATGTTCCTTGAGTACCTGCATACCAACTGGCAGGCCGATTCAAGGATATGTGGTGCAAGTGGAACGTCTCCCTGCTGCGGACAACAAACATGGCGAAGTCGTACAACAAGTAAGTCAGTCATTTTTTCATGAGTGCGCCGCCACACCACACAAAATTTGTTTGTTTAGGCAGCTGGAAGACATGCTTGGGGAGCGCTTTCCACGCATGGGTAAGCTTCTGCTTACCTTCAAACGTTACACCACGTGACGGTCATTGATTTTACGTGTCTATGGTGCAGAGCCTACGTTCATCCTACAATCATACAAAGCTGGTCTCCGTTTTTTGTGTTCATTTTAGGTAGTTTGACCATTACATGAATGACTAGTTGTGTTCGTCTCCCAAGTATAAATAAATGCTAACTCAAAGTGACGCTGATAAATTTTTTGCTTCATGGTTGGTAGCGTTCAGAGTTAGCGATCGTACATACGATTGGGCGATTAGACGATCAGTATGGAGAAAGGGATACGTGTCGAATAGGTGATTGGGGGAATAGGCGGATAAGCGATTAGACGGTAGGCGATCAGGCGATTGTAAACGATCGATTAGTGGTGAGAATTCGGCGGCCAGGATTAGCCGGAGGCGATCAGGGCGATTGCTAGATTGGTATGCATGCTCGGCCTAATGTCCTAATCGCTGATCTGTTACTCACTTCATCACATAAATCGTATTTTGTGCGATCGCAACATTAGAGCTGCCGTTTTGTAAGTATTCATTGTAGATACACTTCATCTAATCCGTTCTATATCAAGGCGATAGGGTATGTTGGATTTTATAGTGGAACTTTCAACGAATTTCCTTATTAGTTACTAGCAATCATACAACTATCTAGATGGAGTATGATAAACATGGTTATCGAGTACATATGTATCGTCTTTTGATGGTGTCGACTGGAAATTAAGTGCTGGAAGAAAAGTCATTGCTTTACCGGTAATAAAAAGATAAGGAGAGCTGTCATGATCGAAATTGATGGTAACATGTAGAACGAAATTAATTTTGAAAAAATGGAAAGGTTCCTAACAAAAGCAAAATCGAAAGGACGAGGATAACTTCGCCTACATTTTACAAGCAATACACAGTTTAGAGTTCACTTGAAGTATAAAAAGGATAAAAAGGTAGCCATGCGATAAAAGAGCTTCCGAATCGAATTTGAATCGAATGAGCAGGCTCTCTTAGAAAAGGAATCTCATCTGAAAAACTAACTAAAACTAGAGCTAACTTTTGATTTCCTCAGGTAATCGGCCAGCAGAGCAGTGATGAGGAGAGAGAGAGGAAACACACGTAAGCACCAGAGCACTCTACTCGGAAATTGAGCATGTCTGAGAGACACCTGGGCGATAGATAGAAGCACATAATCATCATTTTTGCTAGTACGAAGAATGACGGACGTTCTCAGCATCGAGGAATGGTGCTGGTACTGAAGTAGGGTAGACGTTTCGCTTTTGCCAACAGAATCACCCAGAAGAGCACATTGAAGAGGATAAACTGCAAAGTACGAGTGAAATATACTTTTAGAATGAACTTCTAGCTGAACTAAGCTTCGTGAAAATGGCTTGAGGTAATCAACGTTTTCAGCAGAGGCAGAAATTTTCTTGAAAAGAACGTACTGCAGACGGGAAAACCACTCGGCTGACGATGTCGATGTGCGAGTGGCGGATACAGAAACGATCGGCTGCTTGATGACAGCAATTATTGACGTGGGCGCCGCATTGCAGGTACATTCAGCCAGACGAGCATCTGCAATTTGAAGGCGTACCCAAGGATTACAGGTGTGGCTCTTGCACACGAATGCGAATGTATTGGTGGGAAGCGGGCCGTCAGCAAAAGGGAAAAGAATCCGTCGAAAACGGTTGAATTAAGGTTGCTATACGAAGTTATTCGCGTGGAGAGGAGGACAACAGCCTGATAAGAGAAAAAAGTCTGCAGCTTGGGCAGCTTACTTTGCAAGGCCCAAGCGCTCTTGTCGGTTGGTTTCCGTGCACGAGAACGCCACATTTGTGATTGTCCTCTAGGGTCTATACTACAGACCGAAGAGAAGCGTTCACACGACCTCTGCCTGGGTTGTGCCTTTGAGTTCCAGATAACCGCGTGAAAATTTAGGGATATAGAAGCTACGGGTTGTTTTGAAGGCGAGAACCGGGGTAAGATGGGTGTGTAAGAGCGTTCATTAATGTAGGGATTGGTTTGAAATGGATGAAGAGAGCAAGAGAAACTTCCGATTACGCCCCGAATAAGGCACCCTTCTCTTCGAGTCGTATCTCACCTTGGGATGGAGGAGGGGCGTGAGCGGACGAGTTCACAAACGGCTAGCTCCAGTTTCTCCAGTACCAATACATTGAACCCGCAATGCAACCGCTGCCGCAACTGCGCCCGCGCTTTTCTCGCAGCGTCACGTGGCAACCGACAGCGGAAGGCGGGGCTTGCGGACGAAGGTGTGGATTGCGGGTCGAGCGAGCTTCTAGCGCCTTTGTCGCGCACTTTCAAGCCGCAATGGGGCGCGACATCAAAGCTTGTCCGCTGTCTACCACGACCGCGGATAGATTAGGTGAACATGCCTGAGCCTGGACCGTGCCTTTAAGTACTAGCTGCTAGAATAACATGAATCAGTTCTGCATTGTGATAATGCCAGTAAAATGATCGCTCAATAGTCTTTGATAGAACTAATCCGTATAGAAGCGTACCATGCAGTAAGTCTGGAGTTGGGGGTGTCGGCTTGTGTTCGCTTTTCTTCTCACGACGTCGACGATCTTCATTCTTCTTCTGGAAAATGTAATGCCACTAAAGTCATAACAAAACATGGAGATGATATTCAGAAATTCGCTATGGTCTTCAAAAACTGTTTTCATGGGTAAACTGAATGACTCCATATTCGCATACCTTGGAGTAAGCGACACAGGCGTATTCAATCAGCGCTAGTACAACAAGAAGATAGCAGAATCCCAGATAGACATCGACAGCCTTCACGTAGGCTACCGGCGGTAGTCGCCGATTCGTGCCAGTCATCAAATGAGTCTCCGTCAGCACCGTCATCACACCGATGATAGTTCGAGACGGTGCCGAATCACGGGAGATCCAAAACGACACCTGCAAAGCACACAAATCCGTCAACCCTGGAGCTTGATGAAGACCTGCTGAGCTCTTTTTTGGAAGCATGGGAGAGCTATCGTAGCTACAGTTTCCGGTATTTGGATCGACTGATATCTCTAGAATACGAACATTTCGCCTCTTTAATCTTTTCTTTCCTTCAAAGCATGTCCCAAATGTGCCGACATTCAGTGTTACAACCCTTCAAATAGTCAAGCGAGCGTGAACAAGGGCTTCGGGCAGAAGTGAATGGAGTTTAACAAAAAGGCTAGACATGACTGCATATGAACGTTCTGAACATTGGGCGACTTCATGCATTCCAAGGCCATTTCAGTAGTATCCATATTGGAAGGGCGGAAGTGGTGTAGTGACAAGTGGCGCGCTCACCACGCGAGCGGTCCGGGATCAAATCCTGGGTCGTGAGTCGCCCGGGCCAACCAAGCCTTCCATCCCTCCGGGGTCGGTTAATTGGTACCAGACTTGTCTGGGAGGAAAAACACTGACTTGAACATCGGCTGGCCCCCGCAAGTCATTGTATAGGCCACATCGCATTCAAACGCCACTGCGAATGTACAAATGGAAGTAGAATGCGTGCCGCATCCCAAAAAGGGATTGATCAACGGCAAATGCTTTATCCTTTATCCTTTATTTATTAAGGAAAAATATTGACGGGCTCCACCAGAGGATTGCGCAACACTCACATTTGGTCTCAGCCTTCACGCACCAGGCATAGGATTTTTCGCCGTCCCATCTCTAAATATCCCAGCCTAGTTCCACTTACATTGGAACACTTATCAACCCACATCTGGGCAATTGCAAAATGTGTCTCTGTGGCCAAAGCTGATCCGAAAGCCTCCTTAAACTTGCTCTTTACAACTTCTAAAGATTAAAGAAGGCATAAAACCTTGCGGATTACATGAAAAGTCATAGTCTAGCAGCGCAAAAAGTCGAGCTTTCATGAAACTTGTACGTAGTCAGACCACTCACCCACGAGATTGCTACAACAAGCGCAGCCGGCACGAAGATCTGCAGCATATATAAAATCCGCTTTCTCGATCGAAAATGAACAGCAGCAGGAGGCGTGAGTAGGAGCCTGAAGAATGATTATTCAAGGGCAGTGTACTAATTTTGTTCGTAGCTCGCACTGCGACAAGCTGTCATCCGACCCGATCCCACTGCCTGACCCAAACGGGTTTCCATTCAATGCCTTTCAAATAAAGCACTAATTGGTACAGTCTCCACACACCATCGGGGCACCGTTTCACCTTGAGGGTATATTCCACGATAGCAGTCAAGGGTTAAATATGGTTCAAACATGGAATAGATGGTGCTATGACTAATCAGTGGAGAAAAAAGGCCAACAAACCACTGACACCTTTGACGATGAGAGAGTCTGGGACACAAACAGACTAAGGAATGCTCGATGCCCAGGCGACAGAAGTACTGACGAGAACGAGAGAGCATATTGGGGAGGGAGACTGCAGATACGGCAACGGTAGGCATACGTGGCGGCTTGAGGGTGTATGGTTGCAAGTTTCATGCCCTTAGCGCCCTTTCCACGCTTTCTGAGAAGAGTGGGCCTGTCTCTGCGGCCGTGGACCCACCAGAACTATTCGTGAGATGGGGGCTATGATATAGTCGCGGAGCGTGCCTTCAACGCCGCTTAACTACCAAAAACAGTTTGTGGAGTGTATCAATCACTTTTGAAAGAGACTCCTAATGGGAGAGGAAACTTTTCAGGGAGTCTTGTTTTGACAGTTCTTGAATTCTGATCTTTTTGATCGATAACAAATAGTAAATAGGAGGTGCACGCCGGGTCAATCGCACATCGTGACTATTCGAAATTTTTATGGCCTCCGCCATCGGTCAACGATGTCAGTAGTTTCACTAAACATACCATTACCTGACGCACCAAGTCCGCCCACAAAACGCCTGCGAACTTGGTACCTATGGCGTCGAGCAGAGGAAGAGGCGAAAGGAGGGAGAGGGGCGAGGAACTCATATACAGCTTTCGAGGAAATAATTTCCACCAACACCAGGAGACCCTCTGAAAAATCAAGTACGACCTCCCCCTTCCAAAACTCACATATACCCTGCAAGAATCTGGAGGATTGAGAATACCAACGGTCAGTTCACTATAAGCACGGAACAGATGTACACCGTACCGCACTGGCCAATCAACTTCGTCTCAGTCATTTAATCCATCCAATCCTTCAGTGTTGTTTATTGGTAAAGATTGATTTTGATGTTAAAAAATACCAAAATGAACACCAGCTGGTTTAACAAGTCACTGCAGTTGATGTATTGCTTCGCCTTTTCAAATTGGAATCAAGGGTGTGTGCATCTCAATAAAGCCATCTGACGCAAATTACGCTAAATCATTCTTCATGACGTCGATTAACCTTTTTGGCTACGAGTTAAGACAATAAAGAATGTAAGCAAGGCTGCTCTGACAAAAATGGACCATGTCAACGGGGTAACAGAAATGATTTATCTAGCGTTACATTCGCCCTGGGACGCCGATTTCAGACCTGCTTTCTATGTTTGCTTAACGATTTTCTTTACGGATTTATCAAGCGAAAAAAACAGCGGTTGCGTTTCAGGCTCGCAGGTCGGAGCGATGGATCAACTCCTTGATGAGTTTGCTCTTTTGCTCTTATCAGCAACGCGGGTAGACTTTTGAGTAGACAACTTGAAACTACACAACCCAGTGAGAACATGCGGACAGCTATTCTGCAGAAAGCCAACGAGCATACTCGACTGGGCACACTCCTATGCAAACACGCAAGCGTGGATTACAATAGCTAGTGGGATAGTGAAACCTTGAGAGCCTTGCAAGGGTTTCATCGGCAGTTTTCTTTGCTTCTTTCTTTTGTTTCCAGTCAACTCGGCATCCATAATTTATTATCGACCGCTCCTACCCTACCACTTTGATCGAGGGTTGATGTTTCAATCAATGCTCGCATACAGATGCTTATATGAAAAGCTTGCGAGCAGTTGAGGGCTTTAAAGAAGGGTTACTTCAAATGGGATCTGAAAAAGGGTATGTACTCATATCTGTAAAAGGGACGGCGGACCCACAAGGGTGTGAGTAGAGACGTGGGGAGAGTGCGTCTATCGCCGCGTAGCTAACCCAATCCAGAGTGAACAGCGATGGAGGAAATGCAGGAAAGGGGATCGCATTTGCTCCAGTGGAGGTGGAGGGGTTCGTAAGCGCAAAGAGCGCCTATTCCTCTAGTCTTGAGTCCTGACTTTTCCTTGAATACTGTACTCATCTCCATCTCTCATTTCACCTTGTGAGCAACGATACTTCATACCATCTGTTTGAGGATGGCATTTAAGATAGTGCGGGCGAAAATTTTTCCATTGGTACAGGAAATCGTTTAGCAGATATGGGAAGCAGTTCTCAGGCCACAGCCTCAAACAAACGCAGCGCTATTCACCTTATTTCAATTGATCAGCTTGATTTGATGGCTTCCCCTTGTAAGACAAGTGAAGCCCGTGGAAGCTATCACGACTTCATTTTTTGAACGCCGCCGTCCCAAAAAATTGAAAAACTTCTTGAGGAAGAAGGCAACCTCGCTACAACCATGCGTTCCAAGGAGAACAAAATCACACTTTCCAAGAGGGGGAGAGAAGGAATTATAGGGGTTTCAAATTTTTTTAATGCTATACCGATCATTCGAAGTACGTACCGATTTTATAGGTAACTACGCACGCTCTTGATGTAAATTCCCACCCGAGTTCCCCCTGAAGGATTCCACGATAAGAAGGCTCGTAATAACTTCGTATTACCTAGTAAGAGACAGCGGATCGCTCAACGTTGCCTAAACAGGCGGACTTCCCGTTAAAGGCAAACTCCGGGATTGAACTAGTGCTATCAGCGCTCTGTAGTGATACCTTAGCTGCGGAACGACCTGAAAGTGGGAAGGAAAGCAAGAGAAATCTTTACGAACGCTGAAACTAAGGTCTTACCCTTCAACAGGGTCGGATGTGGTACGATGCGAGAAAGGGCGGTCAAAGAAGACAAAATACGCGAGAGAGCACGTCGTTTGAGAGAGCACGCTGATCTCTACATCAATGCACGCTGATCTCACCACCTCTCGCGGCTGGGTGGGGAGCGTTGGAAATTGGGTCGATGGTTGCCGGCCCGTAAGGAATAGCGCCCTAATCGCGCAAGTTTTGCGACGAAGCTGGAGTGATCTAGGTAGCTACAGACCTTGCAATTTCCCTAGTGGCATCCTTCCTACTAGTCGGGTCAATCCCGGGGTCTGCCTTTAAGCGGTGCAGGCCAGCTCGCATTGCGCATAGAAGATATTCCTCCGGCGCACTGCATGATCTCCTTTTGGTCAGCTTGCCCGAATGCCCAACCGACATATGCCAGAGAGAACTCTTTAGCATTGAGAGAGCACGATTGAGGCTATGCAATTCATGCGAGAATCAAGGAAGGTCGTTTCTCGGGTTTCTCGGCTGTGGGTACCACTTCTCGGGTTTCGGGCCGTTTCACATGGTTTCTTCTTCAGCCCTACTTCCTGACCACCTCTACCCATACTTCCAGTAAGCTACCTTTTCATCGTAAAATCCGCCTTCAAAGGTCTAGGGTCAGGCGCCCGCGTACAGGTCATGGTTGGCACATCTAACCCCGGGATTGAAATTGCGAACTGAAATCTAGAAATTGCGACTGAGTCCTATAGGATATCAGCGTAGCACCAGAGATAACTTGAGGCTAACCCTTACCCGAAGCGGTTGTGGCCATTGTTCTGTCCATGCACACCTTGGCGAACCGGTACGAAGGCAGTTCGACGTCGTCGGCCACAACGGCAGTCGGACAGTTCGGGTTCGCTTTTCCACACCAGTGGTATTCGATGGCTGTCGTCGAATAACCATCTAAATTTTTTTGTTTGTTTTTGTTCTTTTCTCAATTTCATTTATTTCACTTTTCAATTTAGTCGCAATCAATCGATACCCAATGAATCAACATATTTCTTCCTATATAGTTCTGAAAGGGAAATGATTTAAACATTATGTACATCAGTAAAAAACAAGCAACAAATGAGTAAACAGTAAGAAGACGACAGAGAGAACGACGAGGGTGGAAAACGACGAGCAGAGCAGAAGAAGAGCTGCACGAGAGGCGGCTTTGAGCAATAAGCACGGTGCACCTCAGTCGATTCACCACAGCCAGAGGTTAAACGAGGAGGAGCAAATGACCGGCTGACTGATGGCGGCGAGGACAATCATCAATCAATTAATCAATGAACCGATCAATAATCACATATCGTATTGATTATGCTCAGTAGAATAATACGTATACATAACACAAACTCTAGAACTCGATCGCACACGAACAGTGTTACCAAATCACATGCACATGCAAATTTTCATTTCTATCGATTTTAGGTTTTCAGCAATCGATCGATCAATACGATCGATTGCGGTCGACTATGCCGCTATTACTGTATTTGATAACGCTGTTCTGGCGTGTAGCGTACGGTACATACACACATAAACATCATCGGTAGTAATCAGAGGTGCACCAGGTCATTTGTGTCTGTAAGTTGTGTAATATACTAGTGTCAGATTTCTGGGCAGGGCTTTATGGTCACGGGGTAAGAGGCATGGCGCAGCGGCACCAACGGGGTGACGCTGCGCGGCACGGCACGGCAGCGATCAGTCCTCGATTTCAATCAGAACCCAATTGAACTCAGTCACCGTCATTATCGTCCAGTAGATAACTGAAATAATGAAATATCGTTATAAAAGGGTGGAGCCACGAAATGAAACAAGCCTTATTTTTATTTACCGTTGAATGCGGAGAAGAGTAGTGGAAAGACATATCGACTGCATTTGTCGATCTTCGCCGGCGTCACATTCCGACAAGTTTTGAAGCCTGAAAACGGAGCTTAATGAAACCCGATATCATGAATGGGACAAGTTTTAAATGAGAATAGATGACGTTAGAAATTGATTATATATTTTTATTAATTTAACTCACTTCCGTTATTTTATTCATAGGTAATGATAAAATTTGCTTCACCCAAACATATAATATCTCTCACTATTTCTGAGAGGCATGTTAAAAACCTCACCACCATAACAATTTTTGTCTATATGCTGACCTATCGCATTAACTTTATATTATCATCATTCGGTCATCATATTCTGCATTGCATACATTACCTACTTTTCGCATTGCAGTATTATCTCTATACAGGGGAAGAGGGGGGGGGGCAAAAAAGTCTCTATGTCCATAGTGCATATCACCAACATTTTGCGTGCAGGGTGCATTGTTCATGGAAAATTTAGCTTCCAGAATATTCCTTAAAGGACAAATCCGGGATCAACAGGTGCTATTAGCGCTTCGTGGTGATAGCTTAGCTGCGGAACGACCTGAAAGTGGGAAGGAAAGCAAGAGAAATCCTTGAGAACGCTGCAATAAGGCCTTAACCTTCAAGTAGGGTAAGATGTGGTACGATGGCGAGAAAGGGCGGTCAAAGAAGACAAAATACGCGAGAGAGCACGTCGTTCAGGAAACGCACAGCATGATTTCAAACCATCTCTCCTGCGGGTGGAAAGCGTTGAATCTGGTCGGTAGTGCAGGCTTAGGATTACGTCCTAACCGCGCCCTTTTAGCGACGGAGCCTGAGTGAATTCTAAGTTATGGCTTTCAGACCTTATACAATTTTCCTTCGTGCATCCCTCGCCCCGAGTGGGCTTAAATCCCGGTTGGCCTTTAAATGTCTACCCTGCGGAAGCAGGGCTCTGTCCACTTACTGCCTTGGCAATCCACCTCACGAGTAATCCGTGACTAGGCTCATTTTTTTCAAGTTGTTCTCATATCCTTTTTGTTATTACCATATCTGCTAATCACCGGCGCTCATAGGAGATCCGATGGCGACACCGGGCCTTGAAGCTGCGCACAATTTCTCTTGAGCAGTTAGCTGATGATAGCTTCTTGGGAAGAGTAGGTCTGGCTACACAAAACCCCTTCCGTTTCAGACGACGTCGTTATGGCCCACAATCAATCGGGATCCTCGTTGTGTTCGAACCATGCACCCTGTTCCCGTGGCAAATACCGTCTGATACCGTCGGGGTAGAAACATATTATGAAGCTTTTATTTTGCTAGATTGTAATGCGCTCTTCAATATCCAATTGGGTGCATCGGCTCGCATCTATGAAAGTGTAAGTTCTCCCGTTTCAAATATGGAGGGAGAGTGACACTTTTTTGCCCCCCCCCCCATAACACTTCTTTTTGTTACCTTTATTTTTTCATACAAGGGCGGAAGTGGTGTAGTGGCAAGTGGCACGCTTCACCACGCGAGCGGTCCGGGGATCAAATCCTGGGTCGTGAGTCGCCCGGGCCAACCAAGCCTTCCATCCCTCCGGGGTCGGTTAATTGGTACCAGACTTGTCTGGGAGGATAAAAACACTGACTTGTACATCGGCTGGCCCCCGCAAGTCATTGTATAGGCCACATCGCATTCAAACGCCACTACGAATGTACAAATGGAAGTAGAATGCGTGCCGCATCCCAAAAAGGGATTGATCAACGGCAAATGCTTTATCTTATTTTTTTATCTTTATACAGGTACAGGGACAGGAGCCAAAAAAGTCATTTTTTTTCGTGGAGCATATCACTAAACTTTTTGTAGCACAGGGTGCAGCCATCGAAGAGAGTTTTACGGCAATATGTTTCTAGATATTCTTCCCCACCAAGCAGAAACATGCCAAAAATCTCAACTGAGAAAGGAATCCTCGTAAACTTTTGCTTCATATATGGGCGAAATCCGATAGAGCCAATAAACGTTCTCCTCTTTTGAAGCGGAAACCTTCAGTTCCGTCAAATCAGGATACAAAAGTGATCCCTCATCTCACAACACTTTCGGAATAACAATCGTACAGGACCTTCAGAACAATGTTTCTTTAGTTGAGGAAACTGCAACTATAAATCCCTACGATTGGCCCTAAAGAGCCCCTGAGGTACCCAAGCATTGTAGCGCTCACCTTTTTCGGTTTCCCGAATGGTGCTGGCCACATGGCATGCGCCCCATCTCCGACGACCAGTCGAGGATGTTGAATAAGTGGAATCGTTCGGCAGTCGCAATCCACCGGAATCTCCATCAGCTGATTCTGAAATTGTCGAATTCAGTAATGCTAATCGGCTACTGACCAGCACCGTCGTCTTAGAACAACTCAAAGCGGCTAATGGAGTGTTGCAGTCAGTAAGAAGCTCATAATAAGGAAAACCTGTTACCCATCTCAGATAGTATACAGGGTCAAGTAGTGCCAAGCAAATTCCTTAGATAAACTTGAGCATTTTCTTGATATTTTATAGTTCTTAAAAAACATACACGAAAAAAACGAGTTTTCTTCCCTACATAATCGTGACATGGGTAATCACTAAGTAGAGGTCATAAAGCTATTACATGCATGAAAATTCAGTTCTGATTAGAAGCGAACCTTCGAAAAAATGATTCGTTAACACTTCGGTGACCTGTATCGTGTCCAAAATGTGTCCCAATCAATCGGAAGGATGTAACAGTCAACAGTCGTTACGAGGCAATGTTCACCTAATCCTTTACACCTCTGCGCACGGTCAACCGTCACGTTGGACCGAATTTCGAAAATTTTACGACCTTCTCCTTCCCCTTCTAGAGGGCCTCGATACGACCCCCCGAGTGCCAAAGGGCCAACTCTTCACGACCATCCTCCAGCACCCTCGCCTGCCGGGGTGCGATTCTATATGTCCTCGACTCTGAGACCAGCGATCACAGCCAAGCTCCGCCAACTTTTTTCCTCCAATATTACCGTCACTTCCCTTACCGTAACATTAACGCTACCTCGCAAAATACGACCCACCCGTTTTTCTCCACACCAAATACGACCCTCCACTCCTCGTTGGACTTTGTCCAAACGGACGATTGACCCTGCTTTGTCACATGGCTACCCAACCCCCTCCCCCCCCCCCCCCCGAAATGCATTTTCCCTTCAGCCCACGTCTTTATCCTAATTAACTCCCCCCTCAACCACCGAAGAGATTGATTTATCCTAATCTTTGAGTCGCCTTCGTGTTCAACTTACGATGCCCCTGCAGACGCTAACGCAAGCCGCCGCGATTGAGGCCTGATAACGGGAAGAAACAGCCCTAGGATGGCGATGCTGCAACTGAATAGAGCGCCCTGTTGAGGGATGGCGGAGAAGAAAATTGAATATGAATCATTATACAGCAAAACTCTGGACTTTCTGCAACATTTTGAAGTCCGCCAGCCGATTCGCATGAATGTGAACGCCACCTAGCTGCCAAACTCCGCAAAGAAGATCGCCGAAAACGTGCCATCAAAACCGCGGCTATAGTTCGGATGGGTTGCAGAACCCAGCACTCTCTATTACAGGCTTCATTTCTGAAAAATTCCATTCTCTCTAGGAATAAGCGTTGTTAAAATTGATAACTACATTCCCTCCAGAGAGTGAAAAGGGAGCAGTGTTTGCCCTAAGGCCCAAAAAACCTCTGTGATGGGACCAATTAATTTTGGTGTAAAGAGTGCGAGTGCAGATTGAAGGTGTTCAGTGTTTCTGTGAACCAATCTTCACGCTTGAAAGGAGGAAAAAAGCATAACAGAGACGTCAAGCATTGTTATGTGTCACTCCTGATCACATAATGCACAAAGCCACTATAACAAAAGCTAAAAATCCAATACGAACCATGGACGAATTGTGCGGTCCGAAGAGGAGATCTGTCTGAAATATTTCTACTTTCGAGGGGATAAAATCCAGTCATTTTTTTCTTTATCGGTGAACTTTTGGCCAATCAGTGATCAGCCCATAACACGTCACCTGTCACCTACTGTCCTGCTCAAATCCACTAAATTTTGATTAAAAAACTCATAGATCTTTCCCAGTTGATACGTGCTGATCATTGTTCTTGAGGATTCCCGAACATACCCGTTACATGCAAATTCTGGGAGTCGTTTAGTTTTCCCGAGAGGTCAGATCACAAAAGTTCGCGATGACTCAAGCCTAAGGTGGAGCTTATGCTTGTACTTTCAGAATGGCTTATATGAGCCAGCGGTATGCCTAGGTTTAGTCTCAAGCCTGCTACCTAGCCTGGCAAAAAAAGCTGTTCTGACGTCTGATGTGATCGGGAGAATCGATATACACTCGCGATTCTCCAGCTTGTGCCACCAAGTGGTTAGCATTGCCAAGCGAGGCTACTTACTACTCTCTCATAGCATTGGAAGAAGTTGAAAAACATTATACCAGAAAATTCTTATTTCAAGTAAACTTAGGTTGTCTCGTTAGTGTCGTTTCTTCAAACGGTAAATTTTCCGATTAAGTCCCATGTTTTACAGAATGTCATATACCATTCAGAACGGATTACCAGTTCTATAGAATGTTGTGGTTCCCCTCCACATTCTTTGCAAACGCTTTGAATTTCAGGCCTGTGAAATAGAAGAGCCTGTCGGTGAAAATTAGCTAAATCGACAACTATGTAGTTCTAACTCTTATCCTCCTGAGAGAGAATATCGATCTGCAGTGTGCTTTCGACTTAGGTTAGTGAGGACCTCCTCCAAACATTCCCCGATTAGGTTGTTGGAAAAGCCCTGTCGTGTACCTTTTCAAATTTGGTTTTTCTGAATGACCGCTAGCCATAGCGGTTTTTGAACTGGATTTTTTTTTCCTCTGAAACCCAGGAACTTATATCAAGTCATGGACTTTCATAAGCTTCTTTCTCTATCGATGAATGATTTGTTTAACCCTTTCGGACCTGAATTTTTCCCCGTGGAGAAATTTTTCTTCTAGCTATTGTTTATTACTTGTGAGCATATAGGTATCATTATGGCGAAATTTGGAAGCTATTCGATCACAAACAAAGAAACTAAGAAGCTTTCAAAATTGGCCCGCCTACATAGTTTTTGAGCTTA